TCTCATGGTCCTTTGAGGAGACAATTTTCCTGCAGCACATCTTTGGGGGGAAAAAACCCGCAACCTTGAAATAATCTGAATTAGGACCTGATTCTGGACAGTCACTTGTCTGAAATAGTATAGGCTCTCCTGCTTGATCAGGGGGCTGGACTAGAAGACCTCCAAGATCCCTTCTGGCTCTTATCCTGATTCATCACTGGAGGTTTTTAAGAAGAGACTGGTCAGTCTGGACAGATAACTGGACAGACTGGACAGTCACTCGTCTGAAATGGTGTAGGGTCTCCTGCTTGAGCAGGGGGCTGGACTAGAAGACCTCCAAGGTCCCTTCTGGCTCTTATTCTGATTCATCACTGGAGGTTTTTAAGAAGAGACTGGTCAGTCTGGACAGATAACTGGACAGACTGGACAGTCACTCGTCTGAAATGTTGTAGGGTCTCCTGCTTGAGCAGGGGGCTGGACTAGAAGACCTCCAAGGTCCCTTCTGGCTCTTATTCTGATTCATCAATGGAGGTTTTTAAGAAGAGACTGGTCAGTCTGGACAGATAACTGGACAGTCACTCGTCTGAAATGGTATGGGGGTCTCCTGCTTGAGTAGGGGGCTGGACTAGAAGACCTCCAAGGTCCCTTCCAGCTCTATTCTGACCGGTTCTTGGAGAAGTCCATAAACAGGTATGTATGGACCTTCAGCAGCCAGGCATCTCTGAACATCGGCTGGTAGCGAGCGATATAAAAGGAGGGCTGTGGATGTCCCACCACTCGCCTCCCCTTCCAGAAACAAAACTCCAACAAAGCTGCAGGTGCAGATCCACCCTCGGGAGCCACACTGGCCGGCGAGAAGCGCGAAAGAGTTAAAGGCACAGAGCTCCGCCCGCTAGAGAGGCAGCACCGAGGAGGTGCCGCTGGTCTTTGCCCCCTTCCCGTCCGGGGAGGACACGGATGGGCGGCGAGGCTGCAGCCCCAGCTGGAAGGGAGGCGCGTGGCCGGCAAATCGGGGCAAGGAGGGAGCGCCGGCTGAGAGGAGAGGCGGCGGCTCTTCCCGCGGGCAGAGGGCGGGCTGCCTGGACGGAAGGAAGGCAAAACAAGGCAGGCGCGGGGCTTCACCGGGGAAGAAGGTAGGGTGGATCGGGGAGGCGCTGGAGCAGCCGCGGGGGTCCCTTTTCCTCCCCTCCTTCGGCTCCCATTCACTCGTGCAAGGCAGCCCAGGGGCTGAGCGCTTTGCCCCGCAGGTGCAGTTCAAGAGGCACTTTAGCACTTAATTTGGAGCGGCGGGCGGGGGTGGGAATCTCTGCTGGATCTGAGATCTCGAGCTCTTATCCCGTCTCCCTGGTTGCTTTGATCCGGTTGTGTGGCTTTTGAACGAGGCGGCTGGGACTTCTGGCAATTGTCTGGTCTCTGCCGCCCGTTTTCACACCGAACCAGTTTGGGATAGACAGTGGCATTTCTCGCAACGGGGTAATATGTCGGAGTGTGGCGGAGACTCCCCCCCCCACCTTCATCCCCAAATGAATTAAATCAATTATTGTATCAATATGGTATGCGTCAATTTGCTAAGAGTTTTATTTTCATAGCTTTGTTTGAAGTGTTTGAGCTTGAGAGTGTGACTGTTGGATAAAAATTTCCATCAAAGATCTATCTATCTATCTATCTATCTATCTATCTATCTATCTATCTATCTATCTATCTATCTATCTATCTATCTATCTATCTATCTATC